GGATTTCTGGACTGGCCACAGGTGAGACCACTATGGGCAGCGGTGGAGGGTGGGAGCAGGCAGGGAGGGTGGGAGCAGGCAGGGGTCTCAGGAGAGGGATAGGGGGCCTGATGGAGCAGGCAGGGACTGGAGGGAACTTGACCCAGCACCCAGGGAGTCTGTGGGTCGCCAGAGAGAGAATCCCAGTCCCTCTGGTGCAAGGCAAGTGTCCCACTCGCTGTATTGTCTTGGCTACACACTGAGTTGTTTTAGCCAGTCCAAAAGATTCACTGATTCACTGAGCTGAAAAGGAAGGTTTAAAGGGTCATAGCAGCCAACAGGGAGAGCCCCTCAGAGGAGCTGCCCTTGCTTGCACATGGGCTGATCCTGACTGCGCCCTCCCCTGGACACCTCTAGCCATGGTGTCTGTGGGCCCCCGTGAGGCTCAACAGGCTGGGCTCTCACAGCGGGTCCTCGCGTTCCCCCGCCCCATGCCCCATGCCCCTCCCCGCTTGCCTTAACTTCCCCATGCTGCCCCTCCTCCAGGGCACATTTGCTTCCCAGTTGACGCTGGAAGGGGACAAGATGAAAGTGGAGCGGGAGATCGACGGGGGCCTGGAGACCCTGCGCCTGAAGCTGCCCGCAGTGGTCACCGCCGACCTGCGGCTCAACGAGCCCCGCTATGCCACGCTGCCCAACATCATGGTGAGCAGTGACTCGGCGGACATCCGGGAGGAGGCAGTATCCTTGCACCAATAGCCTTTACTAGACAGCGAGCAGGTCCCCTTCACCCAGACATGAAGGAGGGGCACTGGGTAACGGGCCAAGGAAGATGGGTCATCCTGGTGCATTCCGGAGGGCTCCAGGTTAGTCTTTAGCAACAGGAAAGAATCCGGGACTGCAGCTCCCTAGGAAGGGGCTGGGCTGGGCGGGGGAATGGATCTCTTGGCTATTGGGAAGAGCACGCATGACCCCGTGGCTAATAGGAGGAACACGTGAGTCAACTTAGACAATAAGGAGCCCTTAGTGGATTATCTCAGCCGATGGGTCTTGTTACTCAATAAAATGGGTCCAATGAGTCATCTAAACCGATTCATCTCAGCTGACAGGGCGGGCTTAGTGGCTGGTCTCAGCCAATCGGGAGAGTTCAGTGGGTCCACTCATCCAATCGGATGTGTTTAATGAGTCATCTCAGCCAATAGGGTAGAGCCGACATGTCAGTTGGGCCTCTCTGCTTTGAGATTTAACTACCAAGGTCAGGCTTGTGGAACCCTCCCCGCCAGGTGATGGGCTCCTTTCAACTAGCAGCCATCCTCACCGCCGGTGGAGCAGTGATTCCTGGAGGGAGGGGGAGATGCGGGAAACTGAGTCAGGAACCAGGGCAGGGGCAGCGGGCGGTGGGGGTGGGGAGTTTGGCAGCCCACTAAGCTGTGGCTTCTTGAGTGCAGAAAGCCAAGAAGAAGAAGATCGAGGTGATCAAGGCCGGGGACCTGGGCGTGGACCTGACTTCGAAGATCTCGGTGGTCAGCGTGGAGGACCCGCCCCAGCGTACGGCAGGCGTCAAGGTGGAGACCACGGAGGACCTGGTGGCCAAACTGAAGGAGATCGGGAGGATCTGAGCCTTTTCCTGAAACTCAGCAATAAACTCTGTCTCTCCTGACGTCCGTCTGTTCTCTCAGACCCTGCTGTCTAGTCTGACATATTGCGGTGTGCCACACCCCCGTGCTTCAGGAGAGTTTCTGCCAGTCCTTTCCCTGAAGTTTCCGTTACGAACCATGTCAAAGGGGTTAGACCTGGGCCCAGGCAGCCATTGGAGTGAGGGCCTGACTCCCTCCAGGGCCACCCATTTGTCCTGTAGTGCTGGAAGTGGAATGCAGAACCAGAATGCAGAAGCAAACCCAACTCACTGCCATTTTCCTCTCTGGGTCTCATCATCAGTGGTGCCCCCAGATCTTAGGAACCTGTGGATCCTGCTTATTAATGGGAGGAGGCTCAAAACATCTGCCACCACTTAAAATCAATTTGTTGGGTTTGTTTTTGAGCCACATGCAGCAGTGCTCAGGGGTCACTCCTGACAGTGCTCAGAGGACCCTAAGTGGTTCTGGGGATCAAACCAGGTTTGTTGGGTACAAGGCAAGCACCTTAACCCATATATTATCTTTTTGGCCCTGCAGACCTTTTAAAGCTACAAAATCTGCCACATGAGGACTACTGGGGAGATGGCTCAAAGGATTGGAAATATTTTACATGCACTAGTCCCCCCAGAACTGCTAGACCCAAGGACTGAACAGTCTCACACAACTGGGTCAAGTACCACCAGGAGTGGCCCCAAGACCATGTGAGCACTGCTTGGGAGGCCCCAAAGAACAAGGATTGCAGGAAGAGCTCAATAGTGGGCAAAATAAAGCTTTTCCTGCAGGAGGCCTAGATTTGATGCCTGGTACTACATGGTCCCCTTTGAGAGCACTGCATAAGGGGCTCTCTGAGAGCATTGAGCTGGGAGTAAGCCCTGAGAACTCCCAGAAGGAATCTCTGAGAGCACTGAGCCAGGAGTAAGCCCTAAGCATGTCCATGTGTGCCACCACCACACCTCTTCACCCTCCGAATCTTCCCCATCGAGTTTGTGGATGTATTTTGGTTTTGTGGTCATAGCTAATGGTGCTCATGGAGGCTTGTGGGGTGCAAGGGGTCAAACGGGTCAGCTGTGTGCAAGGCAAGTACCCCTGTACTGCCTCTAGCCCCAGGTTCTCTCTCTTAGTTTTTTTTAGCCTCACCTAGCAGTGCTTAGGGGCTAATCCCAGATCAGTGCTTGGGGACATTCCTGGCAGTGCTCCGAGGACCAGTCTGTATCAGGGATCAAACCTCCGTCTTCGCATGCAAAGCATTTGCTCAGTTGTGGCTGCCAAGCCCCCCACCGGGGATTGGAGGATTCATTAAAACAGCAGCCCAGAAACACCTTTGCATCATTGCTAGTAACACGGAGAGAACTTCATGTTAGCTCAGAGACCAGGAGATGAGGTGGGAAGGCCAATGTGGTGGTGGCAGGACCAACCCTCCTCACTGTGCTGGGCTGAAACTCTGGCCTCCCTTGGGCTGTGCAACTTGCAACAAGTCCCTTGACTTCTCTGAGCCTGTCAAATGAAAAGGCTAATGACAGCCAGCTCATAGGGCCTACAAGTTTCAGCCTGACTACTCCTGGGACACACTTGACGCCACAAGGAGAGTAAGTGCTCATTATTATTTTGGTTCTGAATGAAGCAGGGCCTGAAAGACAACTTGTAGTTTGGTCACGTGGAAGTGGGAGGGGCGTGTGTGAGAATATTCCAGGCAGAAGAAACAGCAACAGCAATGAAAGAAAGGGGAGAGGGGCTGGAGCGATAGCACAGCGGGCAGGGAGTTTGCCTTGCATGCGGCCAATCCGGGTTCGATTCCCAGCATCTCATATGGTTCCCTGAGCACCACCAGGAGTCATTCCTGAATGCAGAGCCAGGAGTAACCCCTGTGCATCGCCGGGTGTGACCCAAAAAGCAAAGTAAAGTAAAGTAAAGGCCCTCCCGTTGATCATCAATTTGCTTGAGCGGGCCCAGTAACGTCTCCATTGGAGACTTTGTTGTTACTGTGTCTGGCATATCGAATATGTCACGGGGAGCTTGCCAGGCTCTGCTGTGCGGGTGAGATACTCTCGGTAGCTTGCCGGGCCCTCCGAGAGGGGCGGAGGAATCGAACTCGGGTCAGCCATATTGGCTGTGTGCAAGGCAAATGCCCTACCGCTGTGCTATTGCTCCAGCCCAAAAAGCAAAAAGAAAAAAAAAAAAGGAGAGGGGAGAGAGGAGACATCAGAAAGGGAGGGAGGGGCTCAGAGACAGACAGAGCTGGAGGGGCCAGAGGGTACAGCAAGTTAAGAGCTTGTCTTGTACATGGCAGACCTGGGTTTGATCCCTGGCACCCCATATGGTTCTCCCAAACCCTCCACTAGTGACCCCTAGCTGGAGGGTTGGGTGGTGAGGTGGAAGTGGCTATGGAGGGAGTGGGGTAGCAACGGGTAGAAGGACTAGGGCTGGAGGCTCAGCAAGGGGGTTGCAAAGAGCTGAAGAGGGGTGTGGAGGTCATGCTGGACTGGTTAGTTGGAACCCTGAGGAGGAGGAGCAGAAAGGTAAGGGGCGGGGCTTGGAGACTGAGCAGAAAGGAGAGGAGGAGGGGGAAGAGGAGCAGGAAGAGGAAGCGGAGAAGGAGCAGGGGAAGGAGAGGGAGGGAGGAAGTAGAGGAGGGGAGGAGCGGGAGGAGGAGCTGGAGGAGGAGGAGGAGGAGAAGGAGCAGGGAAGGGAGGGGGAGCAGGAGCTGGAGGATGTGGGGGAGGAGCAGGGAATCAGAGGAGGAGGAGGAGCAGGGAGAGGATGGGGATCAGAAGGCGCTCAGGGTCTCAGGCAAGACCCCAGGGAGATGAGGAGCCTTGGAGGATGGTGGGGCCAGAGGCAGGTCCTCAGCTGGAGGGAAACTGGTGGGGAGGGTCTCTGGACAGATGGGACTCTGGAGAGGTGGCCAGAAGGGATGGGGCCACTGGAGAGACAGGTCCTCAGGGCGCCTGGGAACCCTAGGAGGGTTTGGAGCAGGGACCAGCATGGGGAACAGGTTGCTGGACCCAGTGGATCCCTAGCCCTAGGGTAGAGGAGGGTCCCTGAAAGACCTCTTCTCCTCCAGGAAGTCTTCCAGGCTTCACCCCCACTCCCAGGTTTGCTTCTGAGCTGGGAATCCTGGGAATCAGTTCTCTCACCCTGGGTGTGGGGAGTGCAGGGATCAGGCGGGGCTTCCCCTGGGAAGTCTGGTGGGGTGGGGTCAGCATTTCCGCCTCTAAATCCTGAGGGGTGGGGGGTGTCTTGGCACCTCCCTCTGGAACTGGCTCCCTTCTCCACCCAGGAAGCTACCAGTCCAGTCAGACTCGTCCAAGCTCAGAGCCTGCTGCGCAGTGCGGGGGACCAGGCTCGGGCCATCACCGTGGTGCCCTGGCGGGTGCAGCCAGCACCATGGCCCCCTCGTATGCTCTGCAGCTCTTCCTGCTGCTGGGTAAGCACCCTCTGCCCAGCCCTTCCCCAGGACCCCCTCCCCACCCGCTCCCAGACACACTCTCCTTTCCTCTGCAGCCTCCCGCATCGGGGCTGGCACCCCGCTCACCTCCTCCAGAGCTGGATCCAGCGGCTCATCCCTGGGCTCCGGTGCCAGTGCTCCCTCCATCAAGTCCTCAGGCCCAGCAGCCCCTGTGGAGACTGTGGAGTCCGGGCGCTCTCCCAAAGCCCAGCATTCCCACGACCACATGTCCAGGCCTGTCGGGTCAGCTGCTTCCGAGGAAGGGTGGATGGTGAGCACCTACATCCCGGGGACCGAAATGCCCCCTGATGAACCATGCCCGGAGCCTGCCTGTGCCTCTGCTGAGACGCCCCCTGCAGGCGTTTCCACCCAGCTTCCAGGCGTGAAAGGACCCCCAGACGCCCCAGGCTCTGCCTTCTTCCCTGAGCTTCTGGATTCTGAGTTTTCTCCCCTGAACCCTGAATCAAGAGCCCCTGCAGAGACAGACTCTGGGGCGAGCTTTCCACAGCAGGTGGGGGGCCCTCTCGCAGTCCTTGTGGGGGCCACCATCCAGCTCCCACTGCTTCCGGTTCCCAGCCCTGGGCCCCCTGCCCCACTGGTGGTGTGGCGGAGGGGCACCAACGTGCTGGCAGCAGGTGGCCTTGGGCCAGGACAGCCGCTAATCAGCCTGGACCCAGACCCGGCAGTCCGAGACCGGCTGCACTTTGACCAGGCTCGTGGGGGTCTGGAACTCTCTTCAGCCCAACTGGTTGATGCTGGTGTTTACACGGCTGAGGTCATCCGGGCTGGGGTCTCCCGGCAGATCCGAGAGTTCACGGTGGGTGTGTACGGTAAGTGGGCCCTGAGGTGTGGGGGCCCCAATGTTGAAAGGACTAATAAGGGTGTTTTCTGCCCAGAGGAGCCCAGACAGGACAGAGGGTTTCTAGGTTGGAGAGATGACGCGGGCCTGGGGGCCAAGGTGGGGGTACTTGGGGGAGCTCGAACTTGGGCACTCAGGACTCCTGGGGTGGGGTGGGCCTGACTGCCACTCGTGGCTCTGAAGGGGAACAGGCTGTGGTGTGGAGCTGCAGTTCCTCAGCGGCTCCCCTCTTGCAGAACCCTTGCCCAAGCTCTCCGTGCAGCCCGCGACCCCCGAGACAGAGGAGGGGGCGGCCGAGCTCCGGCTCCGCTGCCAGGGCTGGACGCCGGCCAGCGGGCAGCTGAGCTGGAGCCGGGAAGGGCGCGTGCTGGAGGCCGCGGACCCCGAGGGGGCGGCGGCCCGGGTCCGCGTCGAGGGCGACCAGCTGCTCATCGCGCGGCCAGTGCGCAGCGACCAAGCGCGTTACACTTGCCGCGTCCGCAGCCCCTTCGGCCACACGGAGGCCGCAGCCGACCTCAGTGTCCTCTGTGAGTGGGTCGGGGATCCTGGGGAGGGGGTGTGCGGGCTCCGGAGAGCCCTGCACGAGCCTTGCGATCCCGACCCCTGCAGACGGCCCGGATGCGCCGGTGATCACCGTCTCCTCCGATCGCGACGCCACCCCCGCCCTCTATGTCACGGCCGGCAGCAACGTGACCCTGTACTGCGCCGCCGCCTCGCGGCCTCCCGCCGACATCGCGTGGAGCCTGGCCGACCCCGCCGAGGCCGCCGTGCCCGCCGGTCCGCGCCTCTTGCTGCCGGCGGTCCGGCCCGGGCACGCGGGCGCGTACGCCTGCCTGGCCGGGAACCCGCGCACCGGGCGCCGCCGCCGCTCGCTGCTCAACCTCACGGTGGCGGGTGAGCCCGGGTGGGCGCGGTGGGGCCACGTGGGGGTGGGGCCACAAGGGAGGGCGGAGTCTCTGCCAAAGGGGCGGGGCCACGCGAAGGCGGAGTGTCTGCTGAAGGGGCGTGGTCACGCCTGGGGCGGGGTCTAAAGGAGGGCGGAGTCTGTCTAGGGGGCGGGGCTATACGGTAGGGCGGGGTGTCTGCAGAGGGGGCGGGGCCACCCGGATGGTGTGGGACCACAGCGAAGGGGCTGGGCTAGCAAGGAAGGGCGGGGAGTCTCTGCAGAAGGGCGGGACTTTCCGGAAAGGGTGGGCAGCAGCAAAAAAAGTGGAATCACAAGGGCTTGGGGTCATTAAAGACCTGAGAAGATAACAGGTATGCCCAATAGTAGAGGTGGAGGCAAGAGGAAGATACACGGCTTGAAAGGACCGGGATGGCAGGGAGGCTTGGTTGCGCCAGCACGGAGAGGATGGAGATTCCCGGAGCAAACTCAAGAAATTAGACCAGGGAATTAAATGGCATATCGTGGGAGCCAGAAAGAGAAGGGACTGAACGACTCTGGCCAGTGCGCACAGAAACAGCCTGGGAAAGCGGGCAAGAAAACACCTGCAGGTTGGAACTAGGTGAAAAGGGGGGAGGGAGAAAGGGAGCAGGGGACAAAGACTGACCCCAAATCTCAATCTCAGATCTGCCTCCAGGGACACCACAGTGCTCAGTCGAAGGGGGGCCTGGGGACCGCAGCCTGCATTTCCGCTGCTCGTGGCCCGGGGGAGTCCCCGCCGCCTCCCTACAGTTTCAGGGTCTCCCTGAAGGCGTCCGCGCAGACCCAGCACCCTCTGTGATACTGGCAGCTGTCCCTGTCCACCCCCGACTCAGCGGCGTCCCTGTCACCTGCCTTGCTCGCCACCTGATGACCACACGCACCTGCACTGTCATACCAGGTCAGAGAGGACTCGACTTCTTTCCAGGAGCGGGGTGAGGTGGGAGTTTCTTTGCTCCTCTGGGAATTTCCTAACTTCAGGGACAGTTTTCCTTTTACACTCACTAACCTCAAAGGACAGAGGAGGCGTAGCCTAAATCTCAAGAAGGGGCAAGGACATTACTGTCCTGGGCCCAAGAAGAGGGCTGATGTCTTCCCACGCACACCAGCTTCCCAGCCCAGAACCTGGCATCCATGACCTACTCAACTAGCCCTAGCTAGGAGATCAGAGAATGAAGGATAAAAGTGTTGGGATCTCCTGGGATTATTATTATTTTTTTGCTTTGTTTTGTTTTCTGACCACATCTGGCGGTGTTCAGGGCTTATTCCTGGCTCTGCACTCACGGGTCACAGCAGGGGTTGGAGGACCCTATGGAGTATTGGGGAGTGAACCTGGATTGGCTGCATGCAACTCCAGCACCTTGCCTGCTTTCACAGCCTCCTTGCTGTTTCTTGCTGGAGTCTGAGGGAAGGTTCTGACTTTCTGACTGACTTTCTCCCACCTGCAGAGGCCCCCCGAGAAGTGCTGCTGCTCCCTGTGGTGGCGGAGACACGGTCAGGGGAGGTGGAGGTGGTGCTGGAGGCCACGGGCTGCCCACCGCCGTCCAGCACATCGTGGGCCCGGGAGTGGCGGCCCCTGGCCCCCGGTGGAGGAGGTCGTCTGCAGCTCAGCCAGCGCGGCCGGAGGCTCCTCATCAGCAACTTCAGCCTGGACTGGGACTTGGGGAATTACTCCGTGTTGTGCAGTGGGGCCCTGGGTGCCGGGGGTGACAAGATCACGCTCATTGGTGAGCCCTTCCCTTCCCTGACCCCAGAAGGTCAGATTCCCCTGCCCTCTCCCCCAGGAAGCAGTGGTCTACAGGGAGGTTGGGTCAAGGAAATGCTTATTAGAGCCAGAGGGCTTTGTGATGTGGCCTGGTCCCACTTAATTTGGCCCCAGCATGCTCCACTACTCCCACCTTCCAGTTCTAGAACCCCAGGACCTGGATCAATCCCTGAAAACTATCTCCTCCTGCTTCAGGTCCCAATCTCATCCTCTCTTACTCCTGAGGATCAGGCTCCAGCCCTCCTCCCTCAGACCCAGGAGTCCATCCCCCAGCCTCCTCCCTCAGACCCAGAAGTCCATCCCTAGCTTCCTCCCTCAGACACCTCAGACCCAGGGGTCCATCCCTCCAGACGCCTCCCATAGACCCAGGAATCCATCCAACTCCCCCTCCGCCCCCGCCCCCAGTCTCCTCCCTCAGACCCAGGAGTCCATCCTCCAGCCCTCTTCCTTCAGATCCAGGGGTCCAGGCCCCTAGTACCTTCCTCACCTAGACCCCCAAATACTGCAGGACCTAGATGCCCCAGCATGCAGCCCCCTTCCTCTCTCCCCAGGCCCCTTGAACCCAGCCCCTCTCTCTGACCCCCAGGACCCTCCATCTCCTCCTGGAGGCTGCAGAAAACACGGGACATGGCAGTGCTGACTTGGGATGTGGAGCGCGGGGCCCTCATCAGCAGCTTTGTGATCCAGGCTCGGCCAGAGGGGCCAGAGCCAGGCAGAGCTGCGGCCCACAGGGACTGGGTTTCCTTGCTCACACTGGGGCCTCGGGAGCGCTCAGCTGTGGTGCCCCTGTCACCTCGGGACCATGGGTCCTGGGCCTTGCGCATCCTGCCCACCCTGGGCCACCAGCCAGGGACCCCTTCACGAAGTCGGATCTACCAGGCTGGTGAGTGGGGGTTGGGGCCGTGCCATGCCGCCTCCTCCTCTCTCCCCAACTCTGACCTCCACTTGAAATCATCACTGTGGATACCCAACTGCCTTCTGAAATTTCATTTGTCCACGGAGACCTCTCAGTGTCCCCCAAGCACAACAACATTGTCCCCCTCCTGAGCACAGCTGGCGGTGGCACCAAAACAATAATAACAACAAAAATACCTCCAGGGGCTGGAGTGATAGGACAGCGGGTATGACATTGCAAGTGGTAGACCCAGGTTCAATACTGGGCATCCCATATGGTCCCCTGAGCACTGTCAGGAGTGATTCCTAAGTGTGGAGTCAAGAGTAAACCCCTGAGCATCGCTGGGTGTGACCCCAAAACAAACAAAAAAAAACCCACAATTTTTTCAGTAATCCAAAGGGTTGGCAAGTCCAGTCAATTTTCCTCCCCAATTGCTTTTCTTTTTCTGTTTTGGGGGGATTTGGGGGCACACATGATGGCGCTCAGGACTTACTCCTTACTCTGTATTAGAAATAATTTCTGGCAGGGCTTTCAGGACCATATGGGGTGCCAGGGGTTGAACCAGGGTCAGCTGCATTCAAGGCCAGCACCCTCTTTGTTGTGCCATCGCTCTGACCTCTATGCATTCACTTCTGGTCTCCATCTTACAAGGATTCCCGACAAGGATGGATATCTTGTCTCCTCTGCCCACACAGGGGACTTCACCACCTGCTGAGATGCTGGGAGCATCATAGCCACTCAGTAAATGTTTGGTGCTTTGAGAGTTTGAGGGTTCTCATATTCCTGGGTTCCAAGAGGGTTGGACTGGTGCTTTTTTGGGGGGGGGGGCGGCAGCAGAGTATTTGGCCACACCCAGTGATGCTTAGGGCGTCCTCCTATCTCTGCACTCAGAAATTACTCCTAGTGGTGCTGAGGAGACCATAGGCGATGTATAGGAACAAACCTGGGCGGTCTGCGTGCCACCCTACTGCTATGCTACCTTTAGGGTCCCAGGATTTACTGCTTTGAGACACCAAATGTCACCCATGCTGACCCCTTCTGCTTCATCCTTGCCCTGTTTCTCATCTAGGCCGCACCCTCAGCACTGGAGCTGTTGCCGGCATTGTTCTGGGCTCTCTGCTGGGCCTGGCGCTCCTCTTGGTTCTCCTTATTTTGTGCATCTGTGGCCTGTGTCGCTGCTGCCGAGGTGAGTAAAGGACCAACCAGGAGGGTCCCCAAAGGAGAGTCAATAGAACCTGCCGGACCCAAACATGGTCATGGTCATCCAAGCCACTGGTCTACCTCAATGGCAGCCAATCAGAGCAAGGCTTCTCCCCAGCTCCCCCTGCTATTGGCTGGGCCGGCAGGCTGGAAGAACAAAATCACCTGCTTCCATTTCTCTTCCTCCTCTCTCTTCCCAGGAGAAACTCTTAAAGAAAAGAAGCATTCCCCTACCTTGACCCCAGTGGTCTCCCTGGCAGAAAAGACGATGCAGAGTGTGACCCCTGTGCAGACTCCCCAATCTCCACCTCTCAAAGTACCATTAGACCACCCTAGCCCTAAAAGGGCCTGCCAAGTGAGTGTTGGTATCCCCAAATCTGAGGAAGTAGGGTGATGGCACAGCCTCTGCTTGTTTGGTCAGGGAGCCTATGGTGTCACTTGCTGATTTTCAAAGTTGTTAAACTTCTTCCTTGTTGTTTTTTTCTTTTTGGGTCACACCCGGTGATGCTCAGGGGTTACTCCTGGCTCTCACTCAGGAATTACTCCTGGCCCTGCAAGTGCTTGGGATACCATATGGGATGCTGGGGATCAAACCCAGGGTCAGCCACGTGCAAGGCAAATGCCCTACCCGCTGTGCTATCGCTCCGGCCCTTCTTCCTTATTTTTAATATATGCAAGTTGGACAGAACTTCACATCCATTTGTGTGTTGGGGGGTGGGGTGCCCACCCAGCAGTGCTCAGGGCTTTCTCTTGGCTCTGCACTCAGAGATTACTCTTGGTGGGGCTCTGGGAACCCATTAGGGTCCTGAAAATTGAAACGAGGTCAGCTGCTGCATGCAAGGCAAATGGCCTCATGCCCCCATTCAACTTTTTTGTCTTCAGGAAACAAGAGTGGATAGTAGTTTTTCCCCAGAGGAGAAAACCATTATCATGTTGTTTCTGTTTTTGGATGTAACCTCCTTGTTCTTTGAAGGAAGGGTGGGTTCTCCAGCTTTACTCAGGAGACTGGCGTGACACTAGTCTCAGCAATTTGGCCTCCTGAGCTCCGGTGTTAGTGGTACCGGGGGTCTAATTCGGGGCCTTATGCAAGTGTGCACTCCACTCTGAGCTATGCCCTTGCTCGGAACTGCCTCATACTTTTCCATGCAGACTGGCGGTGCCTCCCTTTCTCGTAGAAATACCATAGATTCATCTTCGCTAACCAAACGGACTGCTGGATAGTCTTTCCCTTTGAGTGGCCAGACTATCCTCGCAAACAGGAATGCGATGCTTTTCTGAGTGATGTGATCTGGTACCAATTGGGGCACCTCCTGAAGTGTCCCCTGTTTACCCGCTCTCTCTTCCAGACCACAGACTTTTATAATCGAGCCATCACTCCAGGTGGGGGACCAAGGACAGTTCGGTCAGCCACACAAGTGTGACCAGGCCAGCGACCCTGCTGCACAGGACTTGGTGGGCAACACATCTGTCTTGCCAGTGGCCAAGAGGGCCCTCTCGTTCCCTGGTGACTGGAATTTGAACCCCTGCGGTAGAACTGCCAGCCTGTCTCCTTCAGCACAGAAGACCCGATTTCCTTTTAGTTTTGTTTAGTTTTGGGGGCCACATTAGGTGGTGCTCAGGCCTTTCTCCCAGTTCTGTGCTCAGGGATGGCTCTTGGTGGGGCTCAGGGGACCCTGTGTGGTGTCAGGGCTTGAACCTGGGTCCGCTGCATGCCAGGCCAGCACCTCGCCTCTTGTTCTATCTCTACAACTCTTCCACCTTCGTGGTGCTATGTTGAAAATGACCTCCAGACTGGCCAACTCCTGCTCACCGGGTCATGTTCTTTGTCGAGGAAGGTTCTAGTGTTGCTTTGAGCTGAAGAGAGGTTACCTCATGCTGAGAAGAGAATTTTCCCATCCCACTCTGCCCCTCTGGACCATGCCCTATCCCCTCCCAGCATCTGTACAAATGAGACCCTATCCTCTCATCTGTAAACTCTCCCCTAGCTGCTCAGTGCCCTTTCCCCATGCTCCTCACCATGACCTTCAAGTTTTGGAGTTTGACCCCATGACCTCTCTGACCTCTCCTTCCAGAATTTTCCTCCTGTTTTTCCAGTAGCATAGGTCTGTTCTCTGCTGCACTTTGTTTTTTCTGTCTCACCTCCAAATATTTGCTCCTAGAGTTTTGTTCAGCGGGGAGTGCTCCATTTCCCCCAGGACATTCACCTCTCTTGTGGAAAGTCAATCGTTACATTTCAGAAGCCCTTTTCCTGGTCCTGCCTCACCCAGGTGCCTGAACCTTTCTCTCATGCACCCATATGCCCATCCCTCCTAACTTGTTCTGTTTCTGGCTCTTTGTTGCATGAAGAGCTGTGTGAGTGCAGAGACCACATGGCTATTCCCGCCCTCATCCCAAGTTGCATACACACAGAGCAATCAATAAACCACGGCCTGCTTCGACGTTCTGGTGAAGGGCGACTTGCTGTTGCCCTGGCCACTGTGATGACTTTCTTTTCTAGCTGGGTATCTCATGGGACCTGGAGGGAGTGCACCAATGAACATGCCTTTGGCTGCAAGGAAGGAAATGAATGGCAGTAGGAAAAAAGAAGAGAGGAGTGGAGGCTCGGATGCTCGGGATGTTGTCTCTTGTGGCTTAGATGGCTGCCATTGTTCCAGCCATCACCTGTTCACAGAATTGTGTCTAGAGATAGAAGGAAGCAGAGCTCTTTCTTCCCGTGCCCTTTGCTCCACCAACCTGAGTGGGGAAAAACCTTCCCAGAAGCTTGATAGCAAACTTCCCAGGTGCTTTGTGGAACCAAAATGGCCATATCATAGCAAGGGAGGCTAGGAAGCCAGTAAGTCCAGCCTGTGTCGTGGAAGTTAAGTGGGTCTAATAACTGAGAGCTCGAGTGGGCCCAGTAACACCTCCATTGGAGATTTTGTTGTTACTGTGTTTGGCATATCGAATACATCACAGGTGCTTGCCAGGTTCTGCCGTGAGGGCGAGATACTCTCGATAGCTTGCTGGGCTCTCCGAGAGGGGCGGAGGAATCGAACTCGGGTCAGCCATGTTGGCTGCGTGCAAGGCAAACGCCTTACCGCTGTGCTATCGCTCCAGCCCATAACTGAGAGCAGTAGAAACAAATAACTAAAGCATCGATAAACGGCGCCAGTCTTGAGGTATCCAAGGTGATTCTGGTAAACGTGAGCATAAAAAAGACTTCTGGGACACAGAGAGCTTGGATTCTTCTGGAAAGCTGAAGCTGGACTCCCTATTATCTCTGCAGCTCTGTGGATGAAAAATCCTGAATGAAAGCAGAAGCAAGCCCTTCAGTTCTGTCCTTGAGAACTAACAGAAATTGGCCTTAAGGTGCAGTGGATGGTTTAGTTCAGGGAAGTGAAGGCCAGTTTGTTTTTGTGTGTGTTTCATTTTGTTTTGGGGATCACACCTGGTGTGCTCAGGACTTACTCCTGGCCTTCTTCTCAGGGACAACTCCTGGCAGAACTCGGGGGGCCCTATGGGGTGTCAGGAATCAAATCTAGGTCTCTTGTGTGCAAGACAAGCGCCCTCCCTGCTGTTCTCTGGCTCCGGTCCATGAAGGGCCAGTTTGGCTGGCACAGCAATGATGCCATTGCGGTTCTGTGCTCCCGGGTCTCTTGGCTCCAGTCTTTCTATCCCTGCTCCTGCAGAACCCAGGTCTCTCTCCCATGGAGAAAAGCAGCTCTTTGGGTGCAGGTTCCCAGGGATGGGCTCATGGACCCCGCAGGCATGTGGCTCCGAGCCCCAGAATGAGCCCTGTGCCTGCAAGGGACCAGGCTGCATGCTGGGAATGGCTCTGCCAAGGGCTCCAGCCAGTCAGGAGTCACATCTGCACCAGGTGAATTCTAAATCTACCAAAGAGAAAAAATATAATGCTACAGGGGAAGGGTGACAAGTGATCTTTGCCCTCAGCATGCCCCCTGCCCCTGCCCGTCCTTAATGACTCCGACACGTGCATGCAGAGACTTTGGAAAAAGGCGTTTATTGGTGTGGTGGTCTCAACACTCCCCATGAATTGGAACACACGGCTCCCAGGGCCCCCCACCCCCCTCCCTGGGACCTTTGCCCACCCCACCCCATCCCCCCTGGGCCCTGGGAATGGAAGACAATGTGGGATGGGGCCCACGCCCCCGTCTGAGGTACAGTCACTGCCCCTTGGTCCCTGCCCTGCCTTCTTCCCCCTAAGCTCTGGGTGGTTTGGGGTGTGGTTTGTAGGGGGTCCCCCGGGAGTAGAAGCACCGGGTATGGGCTCGCGATGTCCATACAGGGCTGCTCCCTCCTGGACGTGGAGTCCTGAGGGGTGCCAGGAGGGGTTGTTCCTACAGTCAGGGTCCCAGAGAGCCCCTTCCTGGCCACAGTCGGCCATCTGCTGCAGGACAGAGAGACGCAGGGCCTATTGCTGGTCAGTCGCTGGTGTGTGTCTGTCTGAATGTGTGAGGGTGGTGGGGGCAGCCTTAGGCGTTGGTGGGGCGGCCGGGGAGAGGCGGGCCGCACTCACAGCGGTGGGCCAGCTGCGGACCCCAGGGACAGCTGGCGGATGCCGCGGGTGGCAGAGGGAGTGGGGGTGGGGCAGGGCAAAGCACGAGACAGGTGACTCTGGTCATAACCCTGCCAGTTGGATGGAAGCACCGATTGGCCCGGGACGGGGCCAGAAAGTTTGGGGGGGGTGGGGAACATCGGGAAGGACTCAGGCCACTCACTGGCCAGGGATGGAGCCTCTGGCTACAGAGGGTTGCTCGCCCCAGCTGGTGGGCGAGAGCAGGTAGGCCAGATGGATGTCCCCCACCTGCTCACAGAGGCTCAATGGCAGCTCCAAGGTGAGCACAACCCCCACCCCCAGCTGCTCAGGTGACGCCCTTTTGATGGGGGAGAGGGGGAGGGAGGTTGCTGCATATATCAGAAAAGCCAGGAGCCTGGAGAAAACCTCTCTTCACAGTTTCTACCCACAGCCCCCATCCCTATGCCCATCCAGAGGAGAGAGGCACAGGGTGGGGGTGGTGGATGTGGGGTGCGGGCGGGATGACCACTGAGCCCCCTTCTCCATCCCACCCACACAGGCGTACAAGCAGGTCAGACACCCGTGCAGGCTCACACTCGCACTCACACACGCCATCCGATTGACAGCCTGAGCTAAGAGAGGGGTGTGGGGTGGCCAGGGGCGGGTCACAGTGGGAAACGTGAAGGGTGGCGGGAATGGCTGTAGAAAGATGCATAAGTTTGCGTTTTTCCCTCACAGTGATGGGTTCTCTAAAGATCTTGCTCTCTCCTCTTCCTCCTCTCTCCTTCCTCGTGGCCGAGAGCTCTTCTGCTCCTGGAGACCCACGGCACTTGCTCCCCCTTATTCTCTCGCTCTCAGCTTCAGGCCCCCCAGCCCTGCATGGAGCGGGGAGCCGGCTGCACTGGCGCTTCCTACATCCTCCACCACAGCCAGCCCAGGGCGGAGAGGAGGGTCAGGGCCCCTGGGGGCCGCGGGGCTGAGTTTTCCAGTGATCCTGGGCCTGGGGGGAGAGAGACAGAGTCACAAAGGCGCTAGGAAGGAATGGGTGTGTGTCTTGTGTCTGTCCAGTGATCAGGGTGAGCTCTGTGTCATGCTCTCACACTGGGAGTGTCTGTCATCTGGCATTCCTGCCCAGCATCTCACCGTCAAAACTGCACTCATTTTTATGCACCCCCACGCTTCCCCATATCAATGTCACATCCCCATGTTCCCTCAGGTCCAAATCTTAGAAGCACCTTGACAGTGTTTCCCACTTACCCCCAAAAGGTTTCCTGGACTCAGGCCTCGGTGCCACCCACACCCCACCAAAAAACAAAGAAGTTGCTCAAGCGGTTGGAGCGACAGCACAGCGGGTAGGGCATTTGCCTTGCACACGACCGACCTGGGTTCGATTCCCAGCATCCCATATGGCCTCTCGAGCACCGCCAGGAGTAATTCCTGAGTGCAGAGCCAGGAGTAACCCATGTGCATCGCCAGATGTGACCCAAAAAGAAAAAAAAAGTTGCTTGACGGGCAGCAGCATGTCTTCTATCAGCCAAGAACCTCTGGGCTCCCTTATTTCAGCCTCACCCTACCCTCAGATTGCTCAGCTTTATGGCTTCACCCTGCACTAGGGCAAATTCAAATCTATACCTCCACCCAAGACGACTCCTTTGGGGCTTCACCCAGCAGCCCACGGAGGACAGTGGTTCAGCTCTGGGGGTAGGGGGTGTTGCTTAGGATCAGGGCTGGCCACTAGCCAGGCAAATACCTTGTCCTCTGGACTATCTCTACGGCCTTTCTGGCCTTTGTCCCTCCATGTTCATCCTTAGGTCCCACACCATGTTCTTGTCGAGCCAGACTCCTGCCCACCCGCAATGCTGTCTGCAGAGCATTTCCAACTTGTTTTCTCACCCTTCAGATCTCAGTTCTCCAGGAAGCTTCCGCTGATGAGCTTAACTAGTGCTTCGATTCCTTATTTCCTTCATAGCCCTTTTCAATATCCAAGCTGATTTCTGTCTTATTTATGTGTGTTGTTCCATTATTTATTTTATGTCAACTCGCTTAATGATTTTCTACTACTACTGGCTGGTAAGGGCTGGAGTGATAGCACAGCAGCAAGGCGTTTGCCTTGCACGCAGCCAACATGGCCGACCTGAGTTCGATTCCTCCGCCCCTCTCGGAGAGCCTAGCAAGCTACCGAGAGTATCTCGCCCGCACGGCAGAGCCTGGCAAGCTCCCCGTGACGTATTCGATATGCCAGACACAGTAACAACAAAGTCTCCAATGGAGACGTTACTGGGCCTGCTCGAGCAAATCGATGATCAACGGGAGGGCCTTTACCTTTACTGGCTGGTAAACTCGGGAGTCCCAAGCCCTTGTGTCGTTTATACACTACTATGTTCCTAGCGTCCAAACCCCTGTGATCACTGTTTTTGTTTTTTTTTTTCCCCAAGGAATCTTTATTGGTCACTCGTTTTGCATCTGAATCTCCTTGGCCTTCACTTTCCTAAATTAGGGTCTTTCTGGGCGGTGCAGGCAGGTGACTCCACTTTTCTGCACCGCCCATTTTCCTAAGGCGTTGCCCATCGCCTGGCCCACTTTCCCACAATCCCATTTTCTCCCACGGTCCCACCCTCTCCCGTGGACCCAGCCACTTTCCCACAGCACTGCCTCCCCGCCCACCTCACGCCCCGCCACCTCACGCCCCGCCCACCTCACGCCCCGCCCACCTCCTGCAGTCCGCTCCTACGGCCCCGCCCTACTCCCTGCGCCCCCTCCCCGCGCGCCCCGCCCATCGGCCGCCCGCTCAGACGCACGCAGAAGACGCATGGAGGCGCTGGACGCTCCGAGCCGGTTGGCGGCGCGACACGTGTAGTTGCCGTAGTGCCGGGCGCTCACGTTGGCGAAGAGAAGCATGGAGCGGGTGCGCTCGGTCTGCACCTTCAGGCCTTCCGCCGTGCCGCCGCTCAGCCTGCCGGGGACTCGGGTCAGGACCCACGTCTCCGCACCCCCTTGGAACACAGCCCTGCCTCCCTGCTCTCAGAATCTCGGAGAAGTCCCGCATTACGTTCCTTTGCGCAACTCCCTCGAACCCCAGGTCACTCGCACGGAGGACTCCGGCTCCTGAGAGGCACTGGTCCTTCTATGCGAGCCGGTTCTCGAGGCTCCTAGAGTCTGCTGAACTCTCAACCAGGGCCCCCCAGTAGACTCCAAAGAACCACAGGCGAGAATCGTGAAAATGAGGGGGCACAACTGAGACTAGGGGCCCCAACCCGGGAGAGAGTGCAGGTGCCAAGGAAAAAGTTAGAGAAACTGCCTGGAGCTTCCCTCCTGGTCCTCAACATCTGACCACACCAGAGCTTCTCCCTGAACAGCCCGAGGAGGCTGGGCTCCTGTGCTCATCATTCGGGGACCCCGACTTTCAATAAATCCTCACAGTACCCCGGCACCTAGAAACTAGACTCCCTACCCCCATCCCAGTTATGGGGACCTAGGACAGCTTCCAGCTTTCGCAGCCCGGCTCCCTAGCTGCCAGAGGGGAAAAGGATCGCCGGCAACCGCCCCTTACAGCCCGGTCCCCAAGGCCCGCCTGGGCGCAGTCCTCACAGCCTGTCATCCTTGTACCACTGGAAATCCGCGGGGGGCACCGCCATGGCCTCGCAGCGCAGGAGGGCGGCTCGGCCCACGGCTGTGCGGGCGCTGGTCACATCCGTGATGGTTGGAGGATCTGGCGGTGGGGGCGGGAGAGGGGCAAGAGTCAAAATTGTGGGGCCAGATGGGGATTAAGGACCTGCTCCCATTCCCAGCAGCCCTGCCTGATCCCCGCCTCACAGCTACCGGAGACCCGCACAGCCCCTGGACCTCGCCCCTCTTCCCCAGCCCCTACAGCCCCGCCCCCGCCTGCCGGGCCCTGGAGCCCCGCCCACTTCCTCAGCCCCTCCCTGGCACCGCCCACACGCTGAGCCCCCCCACAAGGCCTCAGTTCCCGAAGCCCCGCCCTCACCCTGGAGCCCCGCCCTCACCCTGATGCCCCTCCCACAAGGGCCGGTCGCCCCGCCCCATCCCCGCCCCCGGCCCCTGGAATACAGCCCCGCGTTCTCCTCCCTCACTCCCGTCTCGCGTCCAGCGCCCTGGGCGCTCACAGTTCACGGTGACCAGCACGCGGCGGCTGTCAGGCGCCGAATTCACCCCGTTGTGAGTCACGCACTCATATTCCCCGGCCTGGCCCCGCTGGATGTCAGAAATCTCCAGGATCTCACCCTCCGAGGTGAAGCCATCTGTGGGGGAGGGGCGGGGAGGGGGCGGGGCCGGACACAAACACTTAACACGGGACAACACGGGCACAACACGGACACACATCAGCGGGGCAGCCACCGCAGGGCCTGGGGCCTCCTGCTGGGGACGGGGCAGGGATCTGTAAGGGACGGGTGGGGAGGGATCCTGGGGTCTTAGCGGGGTGGGATCCCGGGGACCTGGGAACCCAGACTCTGATCCGGGAGGGTCCCCGAATGGGGGACTCGGAAACATCTAGGAAATTTTGGCCCCGGGCCAGCGTCCGGAGTTCTGGGATGCAGCGTTTCGGGAACCAGTATCTGGTGGTGGGGACTAGCTAGCCGGGGTCTCTGGCAGGTCAGGCCGTTTGGGAGCTCAGGTCCAGGAGAGCGGGGGCCCAGGGAGCCCTGTGGGGAGGGGCCAAGTGTCTGAGACTGCTCCGGGTCTGGAGAGGCACAAAAGCTGGTAGGGGTGAGGATGGGGGAGGGAGTCTTCAAATGAGGGTCTAGGGTTGAGACACAGTGGGGGAGATGAAGGCAGTGGGGGGTCGGTGGTGGTGGTGGTGGTGATGATGAGGGGGTGGTGGTGATGGTGGTGGTGATAATGGTGGCAGTGGAGGAGGTGGAGAGATGGAGACGGAGATGGTGTTGGTGAGGGTGGAGGTGGTTGGACGGGGGCTCATAGCCTGATGGGGGCCACTGAGTGGTGGGGACCTGAGCCCAGGAGAAGGGGTGAGCCTTGGGGAAGACATGGGGGTCCTGGGGGCAGGTGGCAAGTCGGGAACTGGCAGGCTACTGGGAGGTAGTCGCCTGGGTTGGGGACGATAAGGGGTGATGGGGCTAAGTCTGGGGTCTGCCGAGATGCGGCAGGATCGGGAGCCAGGAGGAGCTGGGATTGGGTTCTGGTGCTCACTGAGCTATGGGGGTGTCGGAAGGCCCCGGGTGCGGGCAGGGGCAGGGCTTCGGCCAGGTTCAGGGTCTCACCTCGGAGCTGCCTCCAGGTGACAGTGGGGTCCGGGCGCCCCACAGCCAGACAAAGCAAGTTCACGTTGCCCCCCTCATTCACCGTCACAGGCGAGGAAATGTTCACAATGCGGGCGGGAACTGTGGGGGGCAGGGAGAGGCTGTGCCTGGGTCCCATGGCCCCTCAGACCCCAGCCCTCCTCCCTTAGACCCAAGGGGTCCAGAGGCCAGACCCCAGCCTCCTCCCTCAGACTAAGGAGTCCATCCTCCAGCCCTCCTCCCTTAGACCCAGGGGCCCAGGGTTCAAACCTCAGCCTCCTCCCTCAGACCCAGGGGTCAGAACCTAGCCTCCTCCCTCAGACCCAGGGGTCCAACTCCCAACCCTCCTCCCTCACTCAGGAATCCAGCTGAAACTCCACATGTCAAGCGGGGGGGGGCCCTGCAGTGCTAGAGCGGAATCCAGGGCTGCCCACGCAATGCGTGTACTTCAGTCCTCTGCACGCCCCCAGCCCCCTGGGTTTTTCCGTGGGATTCCTGCCCCCTTCCCTCTGGCTCCCCGCTCCCGGCTGGCCTCTGTCTCTTTCTCATCTGCCCACCCCCTTCCTTGCACCCTCCACCTTCATCTGACCTGACTCTCCCGCTTCCGGTCTGTTCTGCCCTCATCTATTTTTGTTCATTCGTTCATTAAATTTTAAAATATCTAAGAAACGGTGCTGACTACAGTTGTTCCCAATGTTCTCTTACCCTGTCCTGAGGGTTCGGCAAAGATGAATCCATTAGCCTCAGCCCTGCCCGCCCTACCCACTGGGGAAGAAGACTGGTTGTGGCTTTTATTATGTATTTATTTATTTAGGGTTTATTTATTTATTTTTGGCTTTTTGGGCCACACCTGATAATGTTCAGAGCTTAGCCCTGGCTCTGCACTCAGCAATTACTCCTGATGGTGCTCGAGGATCATAGGGGATGCCGGGGATCAAACCCGTGCTGGCCGCGTGCAAGGCACATGCCCTCCCTGCTGTACTATTGCTCCGGGCCCTTTATTTTTTTCAGTGGGGGCTGCTTAGGACTGACTCCTGGCTCTGTGCTCACTCCTAGAGGAACCTGGGGACCCTCTGCATGGCTGGGGAGGGCCTGGGTCGGTCGCATGCACGGGCAGTCTTCCCCTCCTCTCTTCACAGGCTCAGGGCCAGGTGTCGGGGGAGCATCGCAGCCCCTGGCACTGCCAGGCTCACCGTGGACGATGAGGTAGACCTGAGTGGTGAAGGGCTGGTGGCGGGTCTGGAAGGAGCAGGTGTACAGGCCCTCGTCGCCTAACCCCACCTGCGTGATGAGGATGGAGAACTCCTCGGGAGTGTTGATGAGCAGCCGCACACGCGGGTCGCTGGTCCAGCGGTCGTTGCCCGCGTACAGGATGTTGGAGCGGTTCAGCCAGGCCACGCGGGTCACGTGCTCATCGATGAAGCAGCTGTTGGTGGTGTTGAGGGACAGGCTGGGGGCGAGGGGCACAGGCTCCCTGCCTCCCGCTGCCACTGTGGTGCTCCTTAACAGGCGGGAGAACTGAGCTCAGACGGGTGTGAGCCCAGGGACCCAGGGACATGGTCACCGGGGGACTCACAGCGAGTGTGGTGGGCTGGAGACCGGAAGGGGCGGGCCCCAGAGAGAGTGGGACAGGGACCCAGAGAGAAAGACAGAGACGCAGAGAGAGGGACAGAGACCCAGAGAGGGGGACAGAGACCCAGAGAGAGGGGGACAGAGACCCTGAGAGAGAGACAGAGACCCTGAGAGAGGGGAACAGAGCCAAAGAGGGGGTAACAGAACCAAAGGGGGTGGCAGAGACCTAGAGAGGAGGGCAGGGACCCAGAGAGGGGGACAGAGACCCAGAGAGGGGGACAGAGACCTAGAGAGAGGACAGAGACTCGGGGTAACAGAGACCCAAAGAGGGGGACAGAGACCCAGAGAGAGGGGGACAGAGACCCAGGGCAAGGGCAGGGCCTTGAGTCAGGTGAGTGTGCTGAGCCCTGTGCTTCCTCCCTCTGTTGTTGGGTCACCCTCACCAGACAGCACCAGCCCTGACAGACAGGGACAGCTTGCCAGAGCCTCTGTGCAGTACCTGAGAGTCGCATTGTCGCCTTCGCACACTGTGTAGTTGTCGGCAGGGGAGCTGAACTCCAGGCTCTGTGACAGCAGCCCTGTGGAAGGGCACAGGCACTGACACACACTCCACACAGCTACACGCACGATCACATGTACATGCACATGAACACACAGAGCACGTACATATGCACACACACACACACACACACATACACACATACCCCTTGCCAACAGCACATTCCTACAGGTACCTCACAACATTGCTGCTTCTTCTGAGCTGCACCCAGGTACACCAGGGGCAGACTCTGGGTGGAGACCCACGCACACACACACACACACACTCTCATACACAATCACACACAAACACACTCACACCGTGCACACACACCACACATGCACATACACACACAAGCACACACACGTGACACATACTCATACAGCGTGCACATACATTCATACACATGCACACCACACACACACTCATATCACACATGCACAAACACACGCCAAAGACAATCATTCATATGCACATACACTCACACACATGCACCTAAGCTCAGGTGCACACCAACACATGTGCACACTCCCCCCCACCACCCCTCCACTCCAACACACACCCGCCACAGCAGGTGGCTGCATTGTCTGCGCTGTGCCAGGCACAGAGCTGTGCACACAGGGACAGTCTGGTAATTGTGGGCACACACGCCACACGCATGGAGACAGACACATGTGTATTCTCACTCGCCAGCACTTTTGCAGTGCAGATGCACGCGCAGACCCTGAACTGATGGAGCAGACCCCCATGTACAGGCGGGCACACAAGTTCACAGTCCATGCGCGAGGATGGATGGACAGCGCCCAGACAGACGCGGGCCTGCCCACACAGACACATTCATCTCTGCCCTGGCCGTGCCTCTGAGGCCGCCCCAACCCGGGCACTTCTGGAGCTTGGCCCCGCCCCCACCCCACCCCCTGGCTGGAGCCCAGCCAGCAGAGGGGGCTGGGAGCCTGGCAGCGAAGGAGCCAGTGACCTTGGATGGACGCGGGGAAGGAGGGCGGGCAGACCCAGCGAGGAGCTGATTCATCTGATGAATGAGCTGCTGCCCGTTGCCCGCTGCCTCCGGGGTCTCCGCAGCGGACCCACCCAGGGCCACCCAGGCCAGGGACTGCGCTGCAGAGGCAGGGAACAGCGTGTCCTCTGACTCAGTCCAGCAATGCTGCTGCTGTGCACACACTCATGCACACATGCACACTCACTCGTGTGTGCACATGCACACACTCACACTCATGCATGCATACACACACCAATGCAAACACAAACGCATGAACACACACGGGCACAAATACTAATGCACACATATGCATGCACACAAAAACTAATGCACACACTCATACACACGCTAATGCATACATGCTCATGCACACACTAATATACACATGCACACACATACATGTTCACGAGCACTTACACACAATACACACTAAGACACACACTCTTAGATACACATACATATGCTCACACTCTCAGACACAAATGCTCACACAGACACATGCTCACACCAACACACTCACTGATAATAAACATGCTCACACTCACAGACACACCTGCTCACAGACGCACACATACATACACATGCTCACACTCGCAGACACACACAGATACATGCTCACTCACACAGACACACTCACATGCACACACATGCTCACACTCAACTCACAGACACACTGACACTGACACACATGCACACATGCTCATACTCACACAGACATACTCATGTGCACACACACTACATGCACACATACTCAGATACACACTGACACATACACATATTCACATGTCTCCAGGCCTAGGAATGATGTGCAGAGCTGAGCCCAGCCAGGCAGCAAACAGGCCCATATTTGCCCCTGGCTGATGGGCTTGCTCAGAGGGATGCCCAGACATGCACACACGCACACACACACACGCACACACAAACACACACATGCATACATACATGCAACTGATCACACATGGACAGAGACACACATGCACATCTGAACACCAACACATGCACACATAGACACACACATGCACACATATGCATACACAGCCCAGGACCCCTGTCTTTTCATGTGTGATCACAGTGGGGACACCCAAGCCAGGCAGTCCCTGTCCAGTGGGTCAGCCCCCACACCGACCAGATCCCCCTTCACACTGACCTGGCCCTGCCCCCCCAGCCGGATTCCCCGTCACCCTGACCGGGTGCCCCAGTCGGATCCCCTGTCACACTGACTGGGCACCAACCCCCCAGCCGGATTCCCTGTCACCCTGACCGGGCACTACCCCCCCCAGCCGAATCTCTTGTCACACTGACCGGGCACCAACCTCCCAGCTGCATCCCCGTCACACTGACCAGGCACCTCCTACGCAGGGGCACGGCTGCACCAAGGGCTGGCGTGAGTCCACGGGGCACAGCCATACCAGTCTGAGTCCACATGCTGACACAGCCACTGACCCGCTCCCTGCACCCTTTTGCGAACCACGCAAGGCTGCAGCTGTGTCAGGAGGGGGCAGCTCCTTGGATGGAAGGACCACTGGGATGAGACTGGGCATCCCACCCTCCAGAAGAGGACACACATGGACACACACAGGCAGACATGAATATACACAGAAACACAGAGACCAGAGATACACAGGCACATGGACACATAGAGACACACATGGATACACACTCACACGGAGATACACACACAGACACACACAGAGGTACACATGTGGACACACACAGATGTACATGTACACAGACACACACAGAGACACACACAGACACATACTAGAGATATGCACAGACACACAGAACACACTCAGAGATACACAGGCACACAGACACATGCAGAGGTACACACACCCATGGGCCTAGAGACACACATACAGACACACACTGGGAAACATACACACACAGCCATACATAGACAATTTTTCACAAGGACACAGACACACTTTCCCAGGATACACGCAGACACACACTCATGCACACCCAGGATGTGCCATCCTCCTGATCACGTGTCCTGGATGCTGTGACTCTGGGGCACAGTGACTGACTTTTGTGGGGGTCACTCCTGTGGGTCACAGGGTGGTCCAATATCTGTACCCCCAGGAGTCCCCCACCTCCAAGACCCACGGGCACAGGAGGGACCCCAGCCCTGGGCAAAGGCCGCTGTCCAAGGTGCTCCATGTTCTGACCCGCACACCAGGGTCTGGGTGAGGGGTGGCCCTGTGTCCTGGGAGACCCTCCTGCGGGGCCCTGCCCCTAGGCCCCTGGAATCAGGCTCTGAGGAGATTGTGGCCTGGTCAGGGCCTCAGCACAGGGGCCTGGGTCTGGTCTCCCCTGCTGGTTCCTGGTGAGCTTCCCGTGGCAAACGCAGTGCCCAGGGCCGGCTCAGCGGGCGAGAGTCTAAGGTGAAAGCTGCAGGGCCACTGACACTGACTCCGGGGGCTCGCTGTCCTCACTACGCTTGACTCCTGCTCCCACAATGCCCGGACCACACCCTGCAGTGCAGACTGGGTCTGTTCTCCTCCATCAGACTGGGCATTTCTGGAGGGAACAGCCCCAGTCCACACGGTCCAGGTCTGTGTTCCCCGCCTCTCCTTGCCCAGGGCTGGGCCCTGTAAAATACGGGAATGTTCATAAATGGATGATGCTGGCTGACACCTGAACTCCTATTCATTCTTCAAGACCCATGTTCAAATGCCCCCTCCTTTGGGAGGGCCTCCCTGACTGCTCTCAGCAGAGACTCCTCATCTCATCCTCTCTTCAGAGCATGCTCTGACCCAGCTGGCACAGTTACTGGCATAGACTTAGACAGGACAGCGTGCCTCCCACCCTCAGCCAGCCCAGGAGTTCCCAAGGGGCCTGTTGTGGCTATGTCCCCAGAGCTAAGCCTGGTGCAGAAGAGGGAGGTGCTGAGAGAGGTAAAGGATGATCTCTAGGGAAGGGAGCCCGAGCTAGTGATCAGATGGCCTTTCCTTCCTTCCTCCCTTCCTTCCTTCCTCCCTTCCTTCCTTCCTCCCTCCCTTCCCTTCCTTCCTCCCTTCCTTCCTCCCTTCCTTCCTTCCTCCCTCCCTTCCCTTCCTTCCTTCCTTCCCTTCCTTCCTTCCTTCCTCCCTCCCTTCCCTTCCTTCCTCCCTTCCTTCCTCCCTTCCTTCCTTCCTCCCTCCCTTCCCTTCCTTCCTTCCCTTCCTTCCTTCCCTTCCTCCCTCCCTCCTCCCTCCCCTCCTCCCTTCCCCCTCCCTCATTCCCTCCCCTCCCTCCCTCCCTCCCTCCCTCCCTCCCTCCTTCCTTCCTTCCTTCCTTCCTTCCTTCCTTCCTTCCTCTCTTCCTTCCTTCCTTCCTTCCTTCCTTCCTCTCTTCCTTCCTTCCTTCCTTCCTTCCTTCCTTCCTTCCTTCCTTCCTTCCTTCCTTCTCTTCTCCCATTGTGCTCAGGCTTACTCCTGGCTCTGCGCTCAAGGATCACTCCTGACAGAGCTTGGGTGAACATATGAGGTGCTGGGGAATAGAACCTGGGTCAGTCACGTGCAAGGCAAACACCCAACTCTATGTACTATCTTTCCTTCCTTCCTTCCTTCCTTCCTTCCTTCCTTCCTTCCTCCCTTCCTCCCTCCCTCCCTCCCTCCCCCTTCCCTCCCCTTTCCTTTCTTCCCTCCCTTCTTTCACCTGGAAGTGCTCAGGGCTTCCTCCTGCCTCTGTGCTGAGAGATTACTCCTGGCAGGGCTCAGGGATCCCTATGTGGTACTGGGGATCAAACCCATGTTGGCAAGGCAATCACTCTCCCCACAGTGCTCTCTCTGGCCCCCTCCCCTTTACTGATGGGCTCCCTCAGCTACCTCAGTGGTCAGCACCTTTGACCCCTAGGGAAGGTGGGGAGTGGAAGCAGTTCCCTCTGCGGTGGCTGGGGTGGGGCGCTTGTCCTGGCGGGCTCACCCACATAAGGAACAGCACACTGGTGCCGGGCACCTTCTTTGTAAAGGAAAGTCTGTTGTGGTCCCTGGCTGGGAGCAGGGCTCTGCAGAGGCTCTGGGGGCGGGTCTCTGTACCCTCTCCCTGCTCTGGGGCAGTGGCCCAGGCAGAGGACAGAGGCAGCCCTACCTGGGATCTCAGTTGGCACTATCACCCCCCTCGCCAGGACCCAATTTCCCTGACTGAAAGGGATGATGAGATGCTCCTGGCCTTGCGTGGGGGTCCAGGGGAAGGTGGAAAGAGGACCCCCAAGTGACGGGGACAGAGGCACGGCTAGCTCGGCACCTGCGTGCTGGGGGAACGGTGATCCTGGGGACTAAGCAGTCACTGGAGGGTCGGCCTGGGGCTCTGCCCCTCCAGACTATTGGCCTCCAGCCTTCTGGATGGATCAGGGGGAAGGTTGTGCGAAAGAACTGCTCAAAAATGCTAATCCAGGGGCTGGAGCGATAGCACAGCGGGGAGGACATTTGCCTTGCACTGGCAGACCCAGGTTCGATCCCCGGCAACCCATAGGATCCCTGGAGCACTGTCAGGAGTAATTCCTGAGTGCAGAGCCAGGACTGACCTCTGAGCATCTCTGGGTGTGACCCTAAGACTCAAAGAAAAAAAAGGAATGCTGATCTTCCTGGTGCTTGCTCTAAAGAAAGGACATTTGGGGCCGGGACACAGGACAGGAGGGCTGAGGCCCCTGCCTGCTGTGCGGCTGCTCTTGGCTGGATCCCTGGCACAGCATGGTTTCCCAAGCACCGCCAGGAGGCACTCGTGAGCTCAGAGCCAGGACTAGCACCTGGCTGTCACCAAGTGTGGCCCTCCCACTGTCACTATCCCATCATTAAGGACGGTACATTTAGAAGACAATGGGGGGGGGCGAGATGGGGGTCTTCCCCGAGGACATGGCAGCATGCAAGGGTCCCTTCGGTAATTTGGAGAATTTCTTTTTGCGGGGGGCACACCCGGACATGTTCAAGGCTTACTCCTGGCAGGACGCAGGAGCTTTTTGGTGTTGGGGTGGGACCCAGGTCAACAGTGTATGCGGCCCTCCAGCCCCTCTTGCCCAGGATTTATGTACACTAGTGATCTGGGGAGGCGGTCCCGGAAGAGCAGAAGTGAGAAACAAGATGTGATTCCTGAGGGGACAGGGTAGCAGGTGGGGCTCTGAGACGGGAATGTGTGTGACAGCAGGGAGGCCTGAGCCGGGGTGACAGCAGGGTATGCCCCACCCTCTGGGTCAGGGGGCGCAGCCAGGGTCAGCGGGAGGGACAGAGACTGAGACCGGAAGGCCAGAGAGGTGGTGACCCACCTCTGCGCCCGGCCGGGTGCCCCCACCACCCCTGCTGTCCCAGAACTGCATCCACCTCAGAGCAGCCGGCTGTCCTGGGGATGTCCCTGACTGTGACCTGGCGGGGCCCCTGGGAGCCCTCCAGAAGCACTGCATTAACCCTGTTGGGCCTCAGCCTCTGCCCCCCTCCTCCTGGGTGCTTTCCCAGGCCTGCCTGTACTGGAGGTTCACCCACACTTTCTCCATGCAGACCGCCCGGGTGACCCCTGAGCCCGCGCCCACCCGCCAGCTTTGCACTTCACCCTATGACCCGAGCTGACCCTTTCTGCCCCACTGCCCCCTCCTCTTCCTCCGACCCTCGGGAACCCCCACAGTCGGCCAGGGCAGCGTGCAGCACCCCAACTTCCCGTGCATGCCCAGTTCCACTTAGCTGCACCCCCAGACATCCACACGTCCTCCCGGCCCGGAGCAGCCCTGGGGGCGGGGGGCTCCCGCGCCCTCCCCCACCGGCGGCCGGGAGCGGCGCAGACCCCCGCGGCCGCCCCCGCCCGCCCGCCCGCGCCCCCCGACCCCGCGCTGCGGTACCTCGGCTGATGACGGCCAGGCCGGCCAGGGCGGCGGCCGCGAGGAGCCGGAGCCGGGCCCCGGGCGCAGGGGGGGGCATCGCGGCGGCGGGCGGGAGGGGCGGGGGCCGTCCGGGCCGGCTCGGGGGGAGAGGGGCGGGGGAGGGGACCCCGCCTGCGGCTGCACCGGCCCGGGGGGCGGCGGGGGCGGGGGGAGGGGGCCGGGGGGGCGCGACGAGGCGGCCGGAGCTGCTGCAGACCCGGGGAGGGGGCGGCGCTGACGGGCAGGCCGGCCGGCCAATCAGGGCGCGCGGGCGGCGGGGGGCGGGGCCGGGGGCTGCTCGCTGCGGGGACCGGCCTTTGTTACTGCGGCCGCCCCAGCCCCTCCGCCCCGGGCTCCGCGCCGACCCCCGGGACCCCTCGTCCGGACGCTCTCGGGGGAACCCACCTTCTTCCAGCTCCTGCTCCCGATCGCAGCCTCCCTCACACCCCAGCCTCCTCCATCTAACCCGGGAGCGCAGGCCCCCAGGCCCTCCTCCCCAGACCCAGGAACCCAGACCCCAGCCTCCTCCATCTGACAGGAGCAGGACCCCAGACTCCCAGCCCCTCCTCCCTCAAACCCAGGACTCCAGACTCCTCATGCCCTCCGACCTCAAGCCCAGGAACCCAGATCCCAACTTTCCTCCCCCAGGCCCTTAACCTTAATCTCAGCTTCTTCCTCCCGCAGACCCAGGGGTCCGCATCCCTCTTCCTGCAGGAGAGTTAAGCTTCTTCATTTTCCTTATGAAAAACACCAGCTTTGGGGGGTGAAACTTCCTTCTTCCCTCCACCCAGCCCTCATGCCAGGGTAGTACGAAAATGGGGTAGCAGGTCTGGGGGCCGGGGAGAGTTGGTAAGAGGACACGGCTGCAGGGACCCAGCCAAGGCACAGCGGGGGCGGGCTCTTGCCTTGCACTTGGCTAACCCAGACTCCATCCCTGCCACCCTGTATGGACCCCCAAGACTGCCAGGAGTGATCTCTGAGCACAGAGCTAGGAGTAAGTCCTGAGCACTCCTGGTGTGGCCCCCCAAACCAAACCAAACCAGGCAGGCTTTGGCTCCTTTTTCCTTCTTGGGGGGCCCACACCTAGTGGTGCCTGGGGGTTTCCTCTGGATCAGTGCTCAGGGGTGGCTCTGGTGGGGCTCCGGGGACCATGATCCAATGGGGATCGATCCTAGGTGAGCTGCTTGCAAGGCAAGTGCCCTCCCCACTGTACTATCTCTCCATCCAACCCCTATAATTCTTTTCTTTCTTTTTTTTTTTTTTTTTTGCTTTTTGGGTCACAGCCGCCGAAGCACAGGGGTTACTCCTGGCTCATGCACTCAGGAATTATTCCTGGTGGTGTGCTGGGTACCATATGGGATGCTGGGAATTGAACCCAGGTCGGCTGCGTGCAAGGCAAACAGCCCTACCCGCTCCAGCCCCTATAATTCTTTTCTTAAAAATTAAATTAAAAATCTTTTCAGCCCAAGCATGGTGTTTCATAATGCTGCTGCTGAGAGGGTCTCATATATAGTGCTCGTACTGGTGCCTCCCATCCATGCACCCCTATCCCTCAACCATTTTTAAAAATTATTATTTATTTTCAGTTTTGGACTGCACCTGGTGGTGCTCAGGGTTTACTTCTGGCTTTGCACTGGGGGATCGTTCCTAGCAGGCTCACCTGAAAGGCAAGTGCCTCACCCTCCCCAGCACGTCCCTGGGCACAATCTGGCAAAAAAAAAAACCCTCATTCATCTGCATTCTGGAGTAAGTACCATCCAGATTTAGGAAACGGAACTGGAGCGCCCTCTGCTGTCGATGGTTCAACAGTGTGGGAATCTGGGTTCGCAGGTTTCTCTGATCCCATTTTATGCACTGACACCCTCCTGGGTTTTGTTTTTTGCTTTTTAGTGAATTGAAGGGGGCTGAACCCAGGGCTTTACACGGGCAAGGCCAGGGCACTACCCCTGAGCTAGATCCCTGTGCTAGGTTATCTCCTTCAAAGTTTGTGCCGTATAGCCTATGAATGTGCCTTAAAATCTTTTATTTTGGAGTCCCACCTCGTGGTGCCCAGGGCTTACTCCTGGTTCTGTGCTCAGGTTCTGGTGGGACCACATATGATTCCAGGGATAGAACCTGGGATGGTTGTGTGTAAAGCAAGTGCTCTACCTCCAACCCCCTCTTTAATTTTTTTAAAAAATAGCTCTATAGGATTATTATTTGGGGGAGTGGAGGCATGCTTGCAATGCTGGAAATTAAATTTAGGGCCACACACATGTCAGGCATTCTCTCCAGCACTCTGAGCAGCACCCCGCCACGTCCCCCTGGTCCTGGAAGGCTTTTATCATTAGCTCCACTTCGCTGAGGAGCAGAGACACAGACAAGTAAAGAAAAATGCTCCAAGTCATAGATGGCTCTGAAGATGCCTGCCACATGTGAGCTTGAAGACAGCCCAGAGCCAGAAGCCCAGTGAGCCCACAGTGAAGAGACAAGCGCATTCTTTTCATTTTGGCTTTTGGGGTCACACCAGTGATGCTCAGGGTTACTCCTGGCTCTGCACTCAGGAATTACTTCTGGCGGTGCTGGACCATATGGGATACCGGGAATTGAACCTGGGTCGGCCAGTGCATGACAAATGCCCTCCCCGCTGTTCTATCGCTCCAGCCCTAGACAGTTCGTTTTGAAAATGGACATAGAGGGTGGCTTAGAGGCCAGCCGGGCATTCTAGGGGAAAGGGCAGCTCAGATAGAGAAGTGAGCACCAAATAAAGGGTGTTTGGAGGATCCTCCCAGGAGGGGAGATGCATGTTGAAAGTAGACTATGGACTGAACATGATTGCCACTCAATGCCTCTTTTGCAGACCACAACACCCAAAAGGAGAGAGAGAAAAAAAGGGAATGCCCTGCCACAGAGGCACGGTGGGATGGGGGGGAATGGGTGTGGGAGGGATACTGGGATCCATGGTGGTGGAAAATGGGCACTGGTGGAGGGATGGGTATTTGATCATTGTATAATTGAAGCCCAAGCACAAGAATTTGTAATTCTACAACTGTACCTCATGGTGTTTCACTAATAAAAATTAAGAAAAAAAAGAAAATGGGCATGGAGGGGCTGGAGCAATAGCACAGCGGGTAGGGCGTTTGCCTTGCATGCAGCCAACCCGGGTTCGATTCCCAGCATCCCATATGGTCCCCTGAGCACCGCTAGGGGTAATTCCTGAGTGCAGAGCCAGGAGTAACCCTTGTGTATCACCGGGGCGTGACCCAAAAAGAAAAAAAAATGGGCATGGAGCTGGATGAGCACTTGATGCAAGAGGTCCAGCAATAGTCAGATAAAAAGTTTCTAGGTCTTCAGGAAAGTCAAATTCAAATCACCAAGAGACATTTCTCTTCTCCCCCACTGGGATGGGGAACAGCGAGAGGGCTGGGTGGGAAAGAGAAAGCACACTTGGCTGAGCACCAGCTTTGCATGCAGGAGCCCCCAGTTCTGCCTCCCAAACCATGTGATCCCCCAGCACTGCTGGGAGCAACCACCTTTGCACAGAGCCCAGAGTAACCCCTGAGTACTGCTAGGTGTGGCCCACAAAACAAAACAATTAAGATTGGGTGGATGGACCACAGCAAGTGTGGGTGAGGACATGGCTCCACCAGAACTCAGCCAGTCTTTCGGGAAGACTCATCCGCCTGTGTCCTCTGGCCTGGCTGTTTCAACCACGAGAAACGAACATATATGTTCTACCACCAATACTTGTGCAGGAGGAGCCTGAGCGGTAGGACAGCGGGCGGTGGGGGTGGGTGGGTGGGGGCTTTTCCTTGCAAGCAATCAACCCAGGTGTGATCTCCAACATCCCATATGGCCCCCTCCCCAAGCCCACCATAAGTCATTCCTCAGCACTGAGCCAGGAGCAAGCCCTGAGCATCGCCAGGTGCGGCCCAAAACCAAACCAAAACCAAATGAACAAAATCCCGCCTTGTACAGGAAACTTCATTGCACTTGGAAGCATAAGGGCCGGGGCTGAAAATAGAGAAATGCCCAATGACAGAGAAGGGTAAATGAGTTATCGCAGATTCATACTACGACACAATTGGCAATAAAATGGAATGAGGTATTGATAAGTACTAAAAAGTGGATAAATCTTTCTGCTATCAAATGGAATGAAAAAACAAACATCCCTTGCAGGCAACATACTATGTGAGTCATGTGTTCAGTTCCAGGCACCAAGCACGGATGGGGGTGACAGTCAAACGCTGACCACTCAGATAGAGGGGGGACAATGAGTCATCGCCTGCTGGATGGGGGTCCTGAACCTTTGGGGGTGAACACGTGGAACCCACTTAGCACATCTCTCCAGGATGAGAGTTGCACAGCTGGAGAAATGTCTGCCCCTGTAATTCCAAATTTCAAATGTCTGAATCTGCTGATTTGGGGAATAAATATCTGACCCCAGGGCTGGAGTGATAGCACAGCAGGAAGAGCACTTGCTCTGCATGCAGCTGACCTGGATTCTATCCCTAACATCCCATAGGGTCCCCTGAGCACTGCCAGGAGTAATTCCTGAGTGTAGAGCCAGGAGTAAGCTCTGAGCATTGCCAGGTGTGACCCTAAATAAGAAAAGAAAACAAAGCAAAATAAAAAGTCTGACCCAAAACTCAAGATTCCTGACCTCTTTGCTGCCATCCGGAGCACAAGTGTCCCATTCTGAGAGGAGAGAGGACAAAAATGACACTCCAATCTGGTCTTCCCCCCTCCACTGGAGCTTCCCAGGGAGACAGGTGGGCAGGATCCTGAAGGAAGCTGCAGCTCTGGGGTCAGGGGTCAAGGGTGGGCCCCCTTCATGAGCCCCTGTGTGAGAAGCCCCCCTCCCTTATTTGTAAAACAAAAAAGCAGAATTCCCCCAGGGAGAGATGGCACAGTGGGGAGGGCATTTGCCTAGCACGTGGCTGACCCTGACATCCCACATGGTCTCCTCAGCCCCACCAGGAGTGACTCCTGAGTGCAGAACCTGAGCACCACTGTATGTGCGTCCCCCCAAGGGACAACAAAAAAGTTTAGTATTGACTAATTTTTTTTTGTTATCACAATTGACTTCTGAGGGTCTGTTGTTTGCCCCCTTCCCTCCGCTCCACCCTGCTACGTTTGGGCCACATCTGGCCGTGC